GGACCCTCAGGAACAGCAAATTTTGACGAGTTTTCGGCCAAAAAACTCAGTTTCAATTTCGTTCAAAAAATAAAAAATGTCCATTTTGACGAAATGGTCGTTCTTGGAGCCGAGGACAATTTGGCTGGGAAATCCTCGGAGCCCAAGGATTTGTCCTCGGAGTGTTTTCACATTTCTGTTCCGAAAATCGGCTCCGAGGACAGGTGGAACGACGACAGAATCCTCGGAATCGCGTCCCCGAGGAGTGCCGAACGACGCCCTATGAGTAGTGATATATGTGACTGCCTGACTGTGCTGCTCACTGTCTGGAAAGCAATTATTAGAAGAGAAGCAATTATTGACTCACAAAAGCATGAAAACACACAAGCATGAATCCAGCACACGACACCGATTACACACAACCGATGTCTGAAAATTGCCTAAAGAGTTAGAATGAAAATAGTCGCCCGTAGCCAAAAAGCTCGTAACAACAAAACCTGGAGCCCACAAACTCGCGCGAATCATTGTTCGCGTCGACTCACAACGCACTTTTGCAGATACTGCTCGGTGCGAAAGGAGTTAATCTGACAGTCAGCCAGATCTTATACTTGGTCAAACTTGTTCCGGAACCTTCACCTAGGACTGATTACCGAGGTCGAGGTTTCGTACCTTAGTCTTCTACACTATCCTACCGGACTTCTATGCTCACACACACCTACAGACCTGATTTTCTTCCAACCGACGTTCAGAAACCACATTCCGGGGTTCAAATTCACGTGCCTTCAGCTGCCTTCACTCGGCACTACATCCCACCAGAGCAGTCATAGCCTCAAGCCCTCGTCCACTCAGTAGTCCATCTCGCCTGTGTGGCTAGTCGATGGGCTCAGACCCTGGTCCCATGAAATCGTTCACTTACCACATACAAGTTCCCAGATCAACCTCCACAAAGGTTCTTTGTCCCTGGCAAAATTTCTCAGGGCATTCGAAAACAACTGATCGGGGTAGTCACGCCTCCGCAGTTCCATCCGTAACATGATCACTGCTTCTAGAATCCTAGCACTTGTCATCGAATTCTGCCTGATCCTATGCAGTGCACTCACTATCGCCGCCATCTTCGTCTTCTTACTCGACCATGAGTCGAAATCCTGAAACGCGCGAAAAACGAGATCACTCCCCCCAATCAGTGTCTTTTCATTGTTCGTCTTTTGATAACAACCCAAGTACGGGTACGTCTGCCTTACCACCAATTCACAACCCATAAATTCCCAAGATCCTTCCACTATCTCCGTCTTCTTCAGTGTCAGGTTCGCATCGTAGCAATCCTCGAATTTCCCAATTATCACCTCCGCCCTCTTCTTTGATTCAATTCTTCCTCAATTGTAGGCGACGAACACAGAAGCGTCATCCACAAAACGCAGACCTGCTACCAATCTCCTCTGTCCCCCGAGGGCTATCAGAAAATCCCACTCTGCCTTTGCACACATAAGGCATGCCAATGGGGGACTTGAAGACTTCCCCATTGGAATCCCAATCTTCTGCTGTAGGACGTATCCTCCCGCCTTCGTGTAACAGTTACGCAGGTCCGATGTCACGAAATCAATCAGCATCTGAAAATCCACACGCCTATAGCCTTCCGGCTCACTGCCTTTACACAACATCATCCCTTTTCCTCTTTTCTTCACAGCAATGCCCTCGAAACCCTTCTCCCTGAACCACAAGACACACCATTCCAAGGAGTTCATGATTGTCGAGTGTGGCTGCTTACTAAACATATCTTTAATATCATACGAGGCCGCCATCACCCGAACATCAGAACAAGCTCGTCTCAGGTTCTTATTCATCCTCTCCAATTTTTCCCGCATCCCGGAAACAGATTTCAAGTTGAAGTGCCCACTTTCTGGTAGTCGGAATAACATCCAATTCAAACACTTCGCACACTGTTTTGCATGCCATGATTCCTGGTTCGCTGTAGGTTGGGCATACTGGCCTAAATTTCGTTGTGTCCTTATGCTTTGGCAGCGCATACGCACACCCCAACTTGCCATATCCCTTCCATTTCCCCATTCTTCCAAACTTCTTTCTTCTAAATTCCTTCTCCATCTAACCCAAGATTTCCCTTTCTTCCTTCCTACTCACAACATACCCTTTGTTTTCAATGAAGGTCCCACACATCGCCCTGAAGTACACACTGGGACACATTACCAATTTACCAGTGTGTCTCCTGGATTCCTATCCAGCGGTGCTAACACGAGGTCTCGCATATGTCTTTTGACTGCGAACACTTCTTCCCGATCAATTACTTGATCCCTCCTTGATTCATCTATGCACATCATCACTTCTTCCCTTGAGGGCTTCATCGCCATTTCCTCGCCACCACTGTGTAACCGGTTGAACGCGCAGAACGCACGTGCACGTTCAAACGCGCGCGTTCATACCCCGCTGGGCCGCGTTTAATCGCGTTCAAATGCGCTGCGCTCCACGTGGAGCCAAAAAAATGAACGCGACCCCGCGCCCCGCGCGCTCACGTCGCGGACTATAGGGTGGTGGGCCTCGTTCAGCAAACCCCGTAAGTGCAAAAAAAAGCACCCCCCGAAGGCCCACCCCCCCTACCATATCACCCCCCGCCATATGTGAATGTTCCTTTTTTTTTTGTCAGGGGCGGTAGGGGAATGCCCCCAACACGGCTCAGATGGCCCATGCAGATAGTCTGGAGGGTCCTCGCAGCACTAAACTGCAGACCCTCCATCAAAATCGAGGCGAGCAGTGAGTATGAAGTAGACCACGAGCTGGCCCAATATATCCTCAGGATCCCAGTTCAGGTCTGTGTTTCATCAGTTATGGGTTGGTCACGTAGCTAGGTCAGAGTCTGCACGTGATTCTCAGGGCTTGGCTGCACTACTCACCAAATGTGCAAAACTAGAATGAATCTTCAGCAGAACATGGAATAATACATGTGATGAGTAGA